TGGTAAATCAAAGGTCGTCAGCGCGCTTTGTGTTATTTCACTCCTTGCACAAATGAATTTAGGCTGTAAATGTCAGGCTTTCTCTGCAAGAAGCAGTCGATTAAGTTGCCGATTCTGCTCAAGTATCGTGGTAAAGGACTTACTAGGAACAGAGCTCTCGTTCAGTCCCACGTATTTAATGGATAAATGATCCTTTGATATCCTTGGATTTCCTTTCATAAGAATCCAAATTCCATCTACCGAATTACCCAAAAACATAGTTGGAGTCAAACTTAAACAGCATTTCTTGCTGTTTAAGTAGATGGAGATGAAAAATTCTGTCTTTCTAATTATTGTATTAAAACCAGTTGGAATAGTTTAGAAAAGTATTCGATCCGTTCTAAACTCATCAAGGTATTCAGAAATTCAACGTTCACAAAGCTGTTAGTTTCCATTCTTCGTCGATGCTCAATCAAATGGCTTCTAAGGAATCAATTTAGAACAGATTACGCATAGTTGTCGTTTTTTGGGGGGCTTACCCTTGATGAATCCGTGTCTTCAGCGGACTCAAAACCCAGGAGCATTTCATTCAGATAAATGCGGTGGTCAACGTTAAATAGTAGGTTTATTTAATCTTTAAATATGGTATCTTTTATGCATTTTATCTTTGTCCCAATATGAGGATAAATTAGTTGTCAAAATTGTTTAAAATCGCGAAAATCTTACAGGATTCTCTTTTACCCTCAATGCAAAGATATTTTCACTTGCGATTTTACATACGTCCCTCAAATAAGTGCAACGTTGAGGGCGTAGAAATCTCTGGAAATCGTGCTCCGTCCAAAACATGCAAGTCGCAGACAGCCGTGGAAGAAGCATCTAAAGGGGCGTTATAGATAGATGTTTAGCAAAAACTCAAGTTACTGGTCTGGGCGCGGTTTGTTGATCCTTAAGGAAGGCAGGAATGTGTATAAAATGTCACTAATGAAGTAGTGCTGATTTTGCGTCCTTCTAGAGGCAAGAAGTAATGAGCTGTGGTGCATTCGACTGCAGATGGACACGGGAGTGTCGATAGATACTCTAGTCAGTCTGATTCAGTCCGACTCGCAGCCAATACCCGCAGCAAGTGCGGATGCGATGCTCTTCGGCGCGTTTCCCGGCTGTGCCCTTGATAGCTCCCCTCTCATCCATTCCCTTGGCGACTATTGCTGCCCTCCTCTTGTTGACCACTGGACACCTTCTCTTTTCCATCACTGCAGCCGACGCCACCTCTCATGGTTACATCTCCTTCCGCAACGCCAAGGAGTACCATGACGTCCTCTTCCTGTATGTTTTGAGCGCCCTCTTTATCTTGCTCATTTAACACTCCTGAGTTTATACCTTATGTCCAGTAAATGGTTGTCAAGTTCCTGTTTCCTTACAATATTTTTGTAATTTAACAAGATTCAATCACTTAGCTGAGTTTGCCATTACGAAAACGCGCAGTGTCGTCTGCCACCTTAAAACAACCAATTGCACTATACAGTAAAGAAAATGTCTTAGTTAAGTTTGAACGAAAATTACTTGTCAATTTGTTAACAGCTATTAAATGTGTCAGTTTAGCAGGCAATGGCAGCTGCTCATCTGCAAACCAGTAACCATAAAGAAACCGAAAGTGTCTAATGATGGAACCCAGCTTCGCTTTTCTCTCAGGTATAGACATGGTAAAAAGCAACAGTAATATTCAATAAGGTTGGTGTCACACTCTTCAAACGCACATGAAAACCATTGTCACACTTTTCATTAATCTGTGCAACAAATGGAGTGGTGAAGGATCATATCTCACTTCCATTCACCCAATTTGCTTCAGAGCACACAAAGGAAAAAGAATTAAGTGTGAAGGGACCACAACTGCACTTAGCAATTGCTATGCATCAGTCGAGACAAAAGAAGAAACTGTGTGAAGCATCCATCACCGACGGAGAAGAATTACTTTATCCTATCAGGATTGGTAGACTAGCGAGGGGTAGCAGAAGTGTTGGAGAATTGCGCATATATAAAACGGTATAATGAAACACCAGATTTACCAATTATTTACAAGTAGTTGTGCCGTTTATGAAAAAATTGAAACTCATATCCCTTTTTGCAGCAAAAGGCAAAATATCTGAATGTTTTATACTTAGTATTTGGTCATGCGGAATAAACCTCATGCAGCAAAGCATAATTGCTTCTTTTCAACATTATATTTCAACACAATTCACTTTTTTGCTTGCAAGCTACCTAGGTTAACAAACTTGTAACTATCCAGGTGAAGGTTCCATGATAGTAAGGTTAGGCATTGTGCGATTACTTCGAGGTCCCATTGGAAAGTTTTGTCCGCGTTTAGCGTAAAAGGCTAATTAACCCCTTTTATTTTGCACTCACCTACCTTACTGTTATGCAGATGTGATTCCCTCATTTACCCTACAATTGTACACTGTTCATGACAATCGTACACCCATCCTTAGCCACTAGAGCAAGACTGCACTTTGACACATTTAAAATTTGGCAAATGAAAAGAGCAGTCAAGTAAGACAAATATGTAATCCGTGAACAGGATTCCCAAACGCTTTTGAAATTTCGTCAGCTAATACAAAGGGAACAGTTATCTGTAAGCCTGCAATTTACTAGAGGATGATAAAGAGTTGTTGAGAACGTAGAAGATAAAAGCAGAAGGAAAAAGTAAAGTGTGTGCCACTGAAGCGTACCTGAGTAGAATGCTCGCGTAGACATATTCAATGACAATGCAATGCACTGACATGTTGACGAGGATCTGACAATAAAAAGTTCCATTCTTTTCCTTCATTTTGAAACAGTGACGTATTTAACGTTAGCCACTTTACCTGGCATGCCGCTCGAACCGATGTCGGAGGGAGATGAAGCGTTGGCAAGAAAAGGCAAAGTAATGAACAAACATTAGATCATGGGCATAAATCCGAGGTGTTTACCAGTCATTGAGCTATTCTGCCAACACTGGCCAAAGATGATGATGAGGCGGAAGAGAGGGATAAGACTCTAATCGAGAGGATATAGCAGAGAGGTCAGAGGTAATCGGTGGTTGCGAGAGAGACTATAGGGAAACAAGGGAAGAAATGAAGAAAAAAAGATTTATTGTAGGTGATACAGAGCAAAGTTTGCTGAAATGGTCAAAGCAAAATACACATTCACAGCTTTTGTTCAATCAACGAACGGAGATCATTGCACGAATTTGGACATCGACATTATTGTAACCAAGCAGCTATGCAAATAGCCTGAATTATAAGTTTGGGAGAACAACCTGTGGTAATGCATATCAAGAAAGCAGCTCAAAACCCATAAAAGACTTGTGAGAAGTTGCTGAATGGACTGGTAACTGCATATTTGTGACTTCAATCTGGCGGTAATCGAAAAGGAGAAAAAGTCAAACAAATGGAATTTGAAGCGATTGCTCCATAATTCATGCAATGGATAGGCAGTATTTGCTCTCTGAGCATCTCTGCTGCCACACTGTTCCACACAGTTGTTATCGACGGTGTTTGTAGAACCAATCCCGACAAGCCGTTCTCTCCGACAGATACAATAGCTTCTTGACAGGCACCAAAGAATGGTGCATCTATGAGTGCATAATTTTTACGCTCAGCGTAATGATTAATTACACCGCTCAAGGTTATAAGACTTGAGATAAGACGTGGCGACACCTCTCTCACAGACCTCTTGAGTCATGATCCACATCAAGCAACAATGTTTATCAGTCGATAAACCACCTCAACCTTACTTAACAATTTCGGTGCAATAGCAGGATTATTTTGATCTCACGCAGAAAATTAGGCAGATTTTATAAAAATGACGTGTTGTGAAAAGGATCACTTGAGAAATTGGCAATGCCACAGGGAATTGTGTTTAAAGGTGTGTTGTTGTTGTTCTCTTGCAGACTTTGCTTTAATGGAATCAACTAAATCAAGTCCACTGGGAAAGGCTGCGCACTACATATTTTTCCGTAGTGAATCCCAATAACCCAGTTTTGTGAATAAATGAGAATGGGAGCTTGCTGTACCTTATTTACCGTTATTTGCCACAGACGATGTGATTGTGGCCATTGCGATTCACTTATGATGTCCTTTATCTGACATTTTGGATTTATTTAGAAAACCTCCTCTATAAGCAATGCACGTATATTCCAGTAGACATGCTATATGAAGTGGCGTCAAGGAAATATCATCCACCTCATCTCAAGTTACGCATGTTCTCTAAGGTACCTGCAGTTAAGTGCTCAAGCAAAAGAATTTTCATCCAACGCAACTTTGCAAAGTAACCCAGTACCCACGTAGTTATGCCTAGAGTCACCTAGTTTCCCTTCTCTTCTTCTTGTTTCTCTTTCGTCTAAATTTCACGTTAATATGCGGTCAGGTGCCCCGTTCATTAAACATTGCAAATGGCCAAAATCTCCCTTAGCGACATTTAACATTTCATATGTTTATTTGTGCGTGCATATCACCAACCGATACTACAATAATTAAAGAAAATGGTGAACACGGACGTGGTGGTTGAGGCACAAGAAGCCAGAGTGGATGCTTTCAGTCCGATCGTTAGTTGATTGGTCCTTAAAGACTACGCATTCTAACACAGTTCTGTGCTTGGAATTGCTTAATCGCATTATCGGGAACACTTATCTCAGTGTAAGGTTTTGGACGCACTGCCTGCGACGACATGAGCGTTTCTTCGGCCATTTACTGCAAATGGGTCCATATTCGTACGGCTTATCCCCATAGTGGTTCCCCCTTGAGGAATCAACTAGCACCATCACGCACACACACGAAAGAAGCGTCTATTCAACAATTTAATAATCATTTAGTCAGTCAGCCACTCGGTTCATCTGCTAATCAATCCAAAAGGAAAAATTGCACTTAGGCAAAATCGTATTGGCACGCAGTAAAATATTGTGGGTTTTTCCATTTTAGGCTGCACGCCATCACATCGCCGTGTGGCACAGCCCAGCCTATTTGAGCTTGCCCAAACTATCCGTATGTACAGAGAAAAGCATGGCAAACTGCATTATATCGTGTTAAGTCATACAGCACTGAATCGTGTACTTTCACCCATTTGAACGCACCTTCTTAACACGATAGCACAAAGAGCGGTGAAACCTCCGAATTACAACCAGTGTCTTTCAGATTAATTGGCCGATCATTCCTCGTGGTCTAACTGCTTATAATCCACAGAGATATGCATTACTTATGTATTTTGAATGTTCCTTTTAGAGAAGAAGCGAAAATACGAATCAAACCTCGTGACTGGGGAGTCACCGTCCAACAACCCTGAGAAGGCTCCCGTGTCCACGCCTCCCCGAACGTGTACTCACTCCTCCCATTTACTCATCCCAATAAACATGGCGAAGTCGAATCAACCTGGGTGTTTTAAGAGTGTAGAGACCAGGGAAGAAGAGATCTGCGTGCCTCATCCTACACTGGTTTACTTCCTCCAACAGAAATGGTGGAATACGTCTGGGTGGTTGCCAGGTGAGTCTAGCATCACCGGTACCATTTTTGTGCTTGACAATATTTGTTCGTCCCAGTTTTGCACCTTGCCATGAGGAGATATTCGCTTACTGGAGCAGAAGTTCACGGAGTTCTTTTCTCTTGTCATCAGAAATGTGGTCAGGTGCGCGCAAGTGTTACCTAGATTGCAGTTTAAAAAAGGGTGTTGTGGCTGTCATCTGCTCCATCTGTTGGTTGCAGTCTCTGTGTTAGCCTCAGTGACTGGGTGAGTAGAGTGTTCCTTCTGCAAAATGCAGGACGTCTTTAATGCAGCGTAGGAAACCAGCACCAAGTATTATGGCTCAGGCGAGTTCTGGACATATCATGTGTTTCACTGTCCAGGTTACCTTCCCTATGCCGACTTTCAATAATGTCTCTCCTTCAAGTAGCATCCCCTTCCTTTTGCTGAACGCAATTTTGCAGAATGAGGGAGGATCCTAATCCTAGTTTTTCGAATTTTTCGAATGGTCTATATATACTTAACTGGATGAATATTCTATTAGAATTGAACATTTGGGAGTAAATAAGAAGGAGTTTGTCTTAAAGAAAATGGATACAATTCTGTACATTCATCGATAACATGGCAAGAATTGGGTGGATTTGAGATAGGCTGGAGGAGAATATAGATTGTCTTTGGTAGAAGTGACCAAGCAGGCTCAATTCTTTGATCTAGTGCCTAGTTGAAGTCGTAGCGTAGATTTGCTCGTCAATGATTTGGACTAGTTTTTAGATAGAATTACCCAAATCGCCTTCATTTGCTTAGGTGAATGAGCACTTCAAGGCGAGTTTGCCAACCTTGATTAAATAAAAATGAGTTTTTCTTTAAGAAACTTTATTGCGTTCTCTTAAATTCATCACTGTTATAGCAAATGTACTTTGGACTTGAGAAGGGCTGGAAAAGTGTGTGGACTGGGTCTTTGCATTTCCTTTATTTCATTTAATGTCTTTTTTGCTTACTGATGACTTTCCACCACTTGTTCCATATAGCATTGAGGTACTGAACGCATTTGTATTAACGACCAAATTGTCAAAATACTTTCTTTTTCTTTATCTTCTGGTCCCCATTGAAGTCCGCGTTCCTTACAGGTTTCTAGCTTATCCAAATTTGAAGGCGACTGCTCTATGGTCTGATGAGCTGCAACAAAGACGAAGTGTTTGCATGTGTTAAGACACTCGCTTGGTATACACTTTATTGAATATAAGGCTGTTACGAGTCAGAACACAGACGCACCCAGGGTATAATTACATCATTCCCGAGTTCTATTTTTACACTAATCCTTAGCGCTCCAAGTGCGTGCAAAATTAAATTCAAACGATTTAATGAGACGAAGTCAATGGCCCAGGTATCTTCCTCAAAACGCAGTGAAAATAACCAAAGTAGGGCGATTCAACAGTAGATAACTAAATTATGTCCCTATTCAAGAGTTCCGATTTGTTATAAAATTAGAAAGATATATGGTTTTGATATGCACAGAGGATAGTGTATTTGTCATAAAGTGAAGAAAGAAAAAATCTTAAAAAATAACCTTTCTTGAGCAAAATCAAACATCCATGTAAGCTTATCACTTTGATTTAAAATCGAGAGGAACAACATGAACATTATCACCCGAACTCTCAAGCACGGAGTTTATTCACGCCTTTGGCTTTCTTTCCTTATAAGCATCAAAGTTACCCAACACTCGGTCAGTCTATTTAAGGACACATTCAAAGGGTAGAGCGATACAAGGCTCAAGGCCATGTCCGTCGTCAGACCAATGACCACCTCTCTCTTTGCCTCACAACTCGTGTGTCGTTCCTACACCTCAACTGTAATGAAGGCCTTTGATAATTCAACCATCAACTCCCACGAACGACGACTATTTTGCAGGTGGATTAGCTTAATAAAATGAAGTAAATGCACTTGTGTCTCACGTCAGAATGTGAAGGAGAAGCCCTGAGGCTGAAGTGGAAGATAGGTGTAGCTCCGAAACCCCACGAAATAGTGTAGTCAAAGCATTTGGTTTTGTAGAAAATTTTCTGGTCTACGAGAGCCTCCTCACTGCACTAATTGATTTGCACAACCTGGAGGGAGTGCTGCAGACGACCGGTTAATTAGAGCCAGCGGAGATTGGGTGCTTCACAAACGTTTATCAGAATATCGAGTTTAAAGGGAGTAGAAAATGTAGCGTCTTTGGACTCGTAAAAAGCATTAAAAGCCTTTGATTGAGCGAGTTTTCCTGCATAGAACTAGTTTTCCGAACCTACATGGAGAGCAATAACCCTGTTCCACAGTCACTCTTGTCTAATAATCTAGGATGGAAGCTTGTGACGAAGTTCAATAAATGAGCTGAAAGATCCTCTGTATCAAGTCTTCTAATCATCGATTGCCTACTGGAAAGAGAAAGCTGCATTCTACCGATACGAATTGTGTGAAACTCCTTCTGTCTCGATTTCATCGGGTTACACTGGTGGCAGTAACGTGAGGAAGGTGTTGTGCCACAACTTCACAGAAGAAGGGCATCAGCTGTGAACGACCGAATCTGCCAGGTATCTTTGCAGAAGCACCAATGAATTTATGGCCACTATTGCCAAAAGCCAACTCCCAGGTTCTGAGTTACGACCAGCAATAAAAGCAGATCAACCTTTAGTGATCAGTTGGTTTTCGCCAAAAAGTACAACGCATTTAGAGAACAAAGAGGAAATTAGGAATTTAACACTATCCCCGATAGTCGGTTGGGTCGTGATAAAACGGCAGCGATGTGAAACTGAAAATGAGCCTACGAAAAAACTTTATGCTTTGCATCTATCTTTATATAAAATCAAACGATCCTCTCAAACACGCTTGGCATACAAAATCACTCAACCTCATTCATTACCACCCAAACAAACCTCCTTTTAAAGTAAAACGCTAACCGCATCAAATTCCACAGAAAGCATTATTATTATTTGTCAGAAAAGTCCTCTTACTGCGTCAAAGCATAAACTCGGTTTTTCTTAAAGTCTACGCGATTTCTTAGACGTGTAGCTTGTGATACCTGTCTCATTCCATTCCCCGCACCAGTATTAAAGATGCTTGCAGGCTGGTATCCCCTTAAAATGCATTTTCGAAGAATCCAGAATCAAATGCTTGCCACATATGGCATAGAACTGTTACCAGCGTCTTCTAAATCTGTCCTCCGTTTATGAGACAGAAGGAATTTCTATCGAATTCGCCTAGTCCTCTTCTCCAGCATTACTAACCGAAGCTACCTCATTGGTTTCGCAAAATCGATGCGCATTTCAAAAGTTTTTCTTGAAGACTTCGGCAATTTGAAAGGATAGGAAGGTGATGTTTGGTAGAGAAAGGAGATGTGCGCATTGAAAAGTAAATTCATTTGTGCTTAAAGGGGGTAGGTTTGGGACGGAAATGTCAGGACTGTCGCATTTAGATTTACTCAAAATCGAATAACAAACATTCGCTGCATTTATTGGATCATTGGGTGTTAAAACTGCGGTTTGGAATAAAGTTACCAAAGGGATTGGTAGAATTTTAAGATTATCATTTTGATCGAAGGGTTAAACAAGGCACTGCGATAGTAAAATATCTCCATTTCAACCACGCCAAGGGCTTCAGAAATGCGGGTTTCGTGTCAGTGGGACTAAATTAGAATCCTGTCTATAAAGAAAATGGATTTAGCCATTTCACCTCTGACATTTTACTTTTTTGTATAGAAGAAGTAGAAATACAATTAACGGACGTTAACTGATGAAGTAGACTGATTTGCCTCTTTGAGAGAGGTAGCAGATTTTGCTGCCCAAAGCTCATTTCAAAACGCAAGTGACAACCAACATTGATGAAGAACAGACATTTGGCGGAGCTTTTGGTTGATCGTCGACTTCATATCTTCTCGTTACCCTACAAGCGCGCCTGCTGCCTTAGCACCAAACCTCCTTTCGAAGACAAGTTACGAGCTACTGGATGGCTTAATATGTGGACGGGTATCACACTAGGTTGACTGACATTGATGGTGCAGTCATCACAACAATCTTAGCTGGTGGTGAACGCTTAGTATGAGGATGATAGGTGGATGGATGATTGGATGGATTTGGGATTTGGTCGTACCGCAGTTATCGCAAGCTGTTAGCAAGCGTAGTGTGCCCAAAACGCTCTACTATCTGTGTTTATTTTTTAACAACTTTTATGCGCTTTATTGGATAATGAAACAGGAATTAGTCAAGCTTGCGTGTCTGTTGGGGAAATCGTCAATACGCAAGCAGGCCTCATCACGACAAGTGGCTTGAGTCATCCTTGAGAACGTGGAGGAGCATGCGGCTGGAAGTGGATTTATTGTTGTCTTGTAGAAGGGCACAGGCGGAAGTAAATTCATAGTCATACGTTTTCTAACCTCCTATATACTACAATTCTAGTGAGTAGCATTGTGGCTGGTCAAGGGTCATAGGTGCTCGACTTCTTTCAGATATTTTCAGACCTTATAGTCGATGCACAGAAGGACTTGGAGACTGGTAACAGATCTCGATGTCATCTTAGTCTTTGCTTGATTGTATTCTCAAGTCTACCGTGAAATTCTATAAACTACGAAAAAAGAAAGCAAACTATACAATACACTTGTATTATTGGTAGTTCAGACGATGTTCCAGACCGAACACCTCCAACTTCCCATCGCGTTAAGTAGGTGGAGCTGTCTAAGGGTGACTTGGGAGGAGAGCGCTGCACCATTGCTTTGTGACATTAATCGCTACATCCACAATAATGCTGTAGGCACATCTTCAAGACGGGCCTTCTCAGTGGAATTTCACATTAAGCATCACTGGCAAGGATTGATGTGGTTTCAGTATGTTTTTTTGGTATTTAAGCATTTGCATCCAGTTGGTGGATCGGAGCGTCTTCGAATAGGCAATAAAGCGTGGCACAAGGAAGGTGGACAGATAATTGATGGAGTGCCTTAATGTCGGTATATTAAAATGCTATATAATGAGATGTATATAGAAACGGGTTGTGTGGAACATTCCGATTTGACATAATTACATCAACAGAAATTAATTTAGTATTTTCCGTGTACCCATGTAAGGTCGCGTACAGACCCACTCCATTTGAACATGAAGCAGGAGCAGTTGATTGCACAGATTGAAGAATTCGACTTCAAACCAACTGAAGGCGCATCAAACTATCAAACTGTGATTTCGCCATCTTGAAGGCATCACTGACAAACTGAGATCAGTGGAAGTTCTCTCACTCACTCCGAACGGCTGGCTTCCTTCCACACTGCAGCAGCAATCAGCCCTGGTAGTAGTTTAATAGGTCTTACCAGAGCTCTACCTTCAAGAACATCCAGTTGCGCGATAGGTAGTGACATTCCAACGGAACCTGACCAAGCCTGATTTAATAAACCCATATCACTCGAAATTCCTCACCCTCACCACCAATAAGACGATCTGAGAGGATTGATTATGGCAGTATTTGGTAGATCCTCTATTCATCATCGCACCTACTATTAGTACTGGTGAATTCCAACCGTGCTATTTTAATTCCAGCTCGTTCTTGCGATCTGACCTTTCCGATTTGGTTGAACATATTTGCTTTCTGGTTGACCGACTGGTTTACTTATTTTGTTTGCAATAAAGTTACATAATTTCATGTTCTACCAACGCTTATGCGCGCTTTCCTCATTGGCTTTGTCAGTGACTGTGTGCTACTCTGAATCAATGAAATTGTTTAAACTTGGTGATTTAGGGCTGGAGATTTGCATGCTCACCTACTTTGAGGTGCTGATTTTGCAGCTAAGTTAATTATTGTTTTCGGTCAACCACTAATCAGTTAGGTGGCCCAAATCAGGACTGACCTATCGAGAATCGTTTATTCTCATTGTCCTATTTCGAAGGTCAGACGTACTGTCCGCATAGCTAATTAACGTAGGACATCCAGTCAACGGTGCAATCTGGATTGTCGCCGCAATAACGGATGAGGTGTTCGGCCTACGTCATGGTCTAGTGAAAACGAATGAGGCGGTTTGATTGCTACTACCCTCATCAAGAAGGTGGAAGGGGTGGCAAAGTAGACCTTATTTTTAGTCTCTAATTTTGTCTTTAGCATAATCAATCCTGCGTAGGGTCGAATATTTCTTTGAGGTTAATAAAAATGCTTAGTCTAAATCATAAATTGAAGGCTTAAGGCATCTATCATCTCGATTTGTCTCTCCTAACTTACCAAAAACCCATAAATGGGCTAATTGCATTGCCTCTCCTATAATTGGCTGGCATGAGTACGATTGTTAGAGGGGAATCTCAAGACATACTGCTAGGAATTTGTCCCGCTTTTTCGGATGACAGATGTCAGATGTCAAAATTTAGTGTAATGGGACGAAATTTTTCTACCTATTGTAAGAAATCTTTTAAACGGGCATTAACACCGAAGAGACGGTGTTCCAACAGTACATTTACCGTGAGTAAGCCGACAGAAGAGAAAGAGGAGGAATAGAAAGGAGTGTTTCTGGATCGAAAGAAGAACGGTGTTGATAAGGGTACACCAATTCGACGGCTTTTAACCTATGCCCCTCTTTGTCAAGCTGACAATGATAGGTTCCATACTTTTAGCAGATCCCCTCGAGGCATCTCCAGTAGCTGTTATTGGTGGCCAAATTTGTCAAGTAGAGATTGATGGGTGTTTGCTGTTGTACGCCTTAATTGGGACTCCTTGCTCTAGGATTGCACCAGAAGATGAGTTGAGGAGGCAAGAATATGCGAAACCTTTGAAGTTGTTTATGTTTGATACAGAGGTAGCGGATTTTGACCAATTTGAACCAGTTGTGTAGATGTTCTTTCAGTTACATACATTACGTTTGCTAAGGTGAAGAAAACCGAAGGAGTTCTTGGAAAAGACAGCGCCGACTGAAGGTAATGGGGAAAAGAGTAACAAAGTAGATGTTTTTAGCATGGATTTTGATAAAATGATAATTTTATTGTGTCACATTAAAAAGATTTATTCACAAGTGTGATTTTTTGTTGCCAACTCATCCACAAGTGATTCAAGCGTGAAACGTCAGCACGTTTCTTGGGCACTTTATTTGTTCCCATCTCTTTGCCAATTCGTTTATCCCTGATTTATTCACATATCCCTCATCATAGCAAGATATGTAACTCAATTCTGCATTTACTACTCATCCATCTGTCCTTCCACTGATTTGAACATTCTTTGTTCCCACATCTAGTGTCCATCCATCTCACATCCATTTATTCATTTTACGCATCCCCGTGTACTCTCATCCATTTATCTAAGCTTTGTTCCTTCCATCTATTCATTATGATACCACCCATCCACGCGTCACTCTCTGAGTGCACCGCTTCATTCGCTTTGATCCCATTTTTCACCTCTCCACGCATTCCAATTGGATTCACATATCAAGTACCCATGTGTCCCCTGTCCAACGTTAGTTATAACGACAAAATATCACCTTGAATCTATTCCTTAAGAATTTAGGGAAAATTTACTTTCTCTTCTTGCAATTATAGTCACTAGTTAATTTTCAAATTATTTTGAGCCCTGGTTTTAAGCTTTTGCTCTCTTTAGACACCTACCCATCACACAGTTATTGTGGTGCCGGCATCCACCACTCGCTCTGCCCATGACATGCTGCGCACCTACGTGTCACATTATCCATCGCCAAGTTGATTGACAGTACCATTGTTAATGCTAATGTACCTGGAGGTCATATTATATGCATTGGGGGTGTTCTTTTCTGCATTTTAGAGGTTAATTACCGCAGACGTTGGGGTGCCAACAGAGGAGAAAGGCCAAGTCAGGCCTTGGGAGAAGCTTAAAACCTACACAATGAAGAGATGTTACACAACGGATCTTGTGTAGAGCTTTATGTGCTGTTTGTAAACAAGTCGTTACTTCCTTTATTTACTGATTCCTACAGCATGGTCTATTCCATTGATCTAAAGAAATATCATTATATCCTTTTAACTGGTCCGAGTGAATCATAAATGATTGCCTCACTAGCACACTACTAAATGGCGTCAAATTAGCCATCGGATAGAACCGAGGAGGCCGGATTGGCTATGGCGCGCACAAATGGCGGCATAGTAGAACAATGCAACCCATTCCAAGCTGAATATAGTGGCAGCAGTCCAGTTCTACATGGTCCAAAGTGGGAAACGGTTTTGTTTATCGAAAGGTGCTAATATACTGGTTGCACTTTTATACACTTCCTCCTAGGTTTAACGCTACTAAAATTTTATTCATAGAAACATCATTATTGGATGCAGCATTTCAGTTGCCCTATTATCTCATTCCTGTGCTTCTGCAGTCCGATGGTTGATTTAGCTCTGCGCTTAAGTTAGGAGGCACTTCGTCCTCCTAAGGCGATTGCAGCATCACTCTGCGACATGGCTTGGGGGCCATGCCACCAGTCCCTCAGCTATCTCATGCGCCACCAACGACCGCTCTTTTGTAGTACTCTGTCTTATTGCTACCTCAGACTTCAAAGTAGATTTGGTGCACCACAAATGGGCTTGAATAGGCATAAATGGACACAGACGTGGCACTAGAATTGGTTCTAGCTATGTTATCTGGTGCGTACAACAGATGGTCGAAAATTGTACCTGTTATAGAGGAATGGTATTGAGAACTGATGATGAGCGGCAAACTTTAACGGTGCGGTAATCACACATAAATTTGACTTTAGTCACTATAACATGATGTAGTAACCGCAATGTGTCCCAGTGCTGCTAACTGTTTAATGAAATAATAGTTATATTGCATGTACGTTCCAAACCAAACTTATTTTTGGGTCTTGTTTTAGATTTAGGCAAGCCTGATTTATTACTAAATGTATCGCAGGATGGCCTTATTTATTCTTAATCGGCGTGTTGTATCCTCGACATATAGTCTGACTTCTAGCACAGACATACGCATGCAGGTTTACTTGCTCTATACGGGCAGACGTTTCATACTACTTAAAGCGATTAGCTGGGAATTCTCTTTTGTTGGATTTTTCGGTCTAAAGTAAAGAGTGGATAATTTATCCCAAACGGAAGAACAATATCTGGCAGAGAAAATCATCGAAGTGATTTGGGAGTATCGTTTAAGCAGTTTTATAAGCCTACTGCGTGGATACCTACTAAAGTAAAAGGTGCTCTAGGCGTATCCATGCTATTTGTGACTGTAAAATCGTTTGGTCCGCAGTTGGTTGCCTCTCCACCACTACATTTGATTCACAGATACTCCTACATTCCAAACTCATTTTGTCCTTTCTTTTTTGATCCCTCTCCATTTTACACATATACTCAAACAAAATTATTGCATCATTGGGTGTTACAATGGATCTTTCGAAAATATTACCAAACGGATGGGTAGAATGTTAAAATCATCGTTTTGATTAGAGGATAAAACGACATTCTGATGGTGAAGTGTCTCCATCCAAGTCACCTTTTAATACAACGATGGCCACGAAATTAACAGAGGTGGGACCTGAAGGACGATTGAGGGCAGAAAGCTTGGAGATGACAGGGCAAAATTGAATGTGTTAACACAAATGGGGTTAATTCCTCCGTTAAGTATTTCGAAAGGCAAAACCGTATTTGTGCATAAGCAAACATTATTCGAAAAATCGGTCAGCATTGCATGTTGCGGAATTGCTACTTGGAAAGACTTAAGAGTGAATTGAGAAATGGACATTAAGGCAAATATTTACATTGGAAGCTATCCCTTAGGCAGCTACATAAGCGCAAGCGGCTCATTCGGGTATTTTACTCAGTAAAACCAAAAGCCTATGAAGGAGTGATGCTAATACAAACGTAAAGTAAAAGCACGTAAGGAAATGAGAGGATTTGTTAGGGCATTTTTTTTGGCACGAATGCTCTTTTGCGAGAGGTTCATTACCTATGCGCAAAAATCATTTAATGTGTGCTAATCGAAATTTATCTGCAAATGTAAGAGCAAATTAATGAAAAGTGGGTAAAGTGAGATGAAGAAGTTGCCAACAATTATTTGACAAAGCTATTCATGTATGTCACATTCTGAAAGTCACCAGCCAAGAACCAGTGAGGCGCAGATTCGGGTGATTGGATGGGTGAATTGAGAAGAAGCATGCTGTCACTGCAGTGATTTAAAACTTCTAAGGCTTTATTGGTCAGAAAAGTAAGCCTAAAAGGAAAGCAGATGTTGGTTCTGTAGTACAGAATTATAATTAATATTATTGAAGCAGGCTCCCGTTTTTGATGTCTTTCACTAAGTGAAAAAGAGATACACGAAAATTAAAGCACCGTGAAGACACGACCTGATGTAACAAATGAGCGTGAAATATTTATCAGCAACAGAATGGAAGATGTGTTGTTCAGCCCCATGTGATTGAGAGTAATTTGTGCTGATCCACACCAAGACGTCATCAGGATCTGCTCATTTTGGTACCACATCGACTCATTCCACTGAGTATTTCTCCTTCAACTTCCATGATTCGCAAATGCCTCACAGTACGACTTCAATGGAAATTAGAATTTAATTTCTATCCTGAGCAATGGCTACGACATTTAATATAAGGCCATCAGTGTGCATACTCGGTATCAACTCTAGGTTTATGCTTTGTCACCGTGTGTCAAATTCAGATTTATGCGGCCCTACATACAAATACGTCTCTTCTTCCCATTGGCATATCAGTTCCAAATTGACTGTTGTTTTAATTCTGTTTTTAAAGACTAGTGACTGCAATGGATTGATGTGTGTGAAGAGAAGTTGAAGTCAGTAAAATTTTAATAATTTACAGACACACCAATAATCAGCTCCACTGGTACTTCATTTAAATGTTGCTGAAGGGAGTGATTGCTCTTATGGAATGGTGGTGGTATTAGAACCACATTAATTTGATAGTGGGGTTGGTTGCACGCCAAAATGAAGTTGAGGTAGCTGTTACTGATATACTTATTGATGAAAATGTAATAGGGGGCCTAGTATATTCTGTAGTGTAATTTACCATCTTTATAAACCACTGAGATGAAGGATCTACTATGAATGAGCGTGGTTGTGAAAAAAGTGGTGCTGCGGTAAACTAAAAGGCTAGGACAATTGACTGATTTCCTGTGGCGACTTGGTGAGCTGCAAATCCCACTGTTATGCAATCTCCTGCTTCTGGAAGCAAAACAACTAGCCACCTCTACTTTGAAACCTTATTGCAAAACTATTTACTTTCACTTACTAGCCGATTACTCGCTGGTTCAGCTTCCAAATGAGTTGTCAATTGACGCCCACCCAGAAGCAAAGGAATGGCTTCTCACAGGCCTAAAACTCTTTGCCTGAAAGGCTGTGGCCGGCTTTCGTGCATTATAAGTAAATCATCCAAATTTTCAGATGCAACTTGAATTACGTTTAAATGGAACTCCTGCTATGCAACTTAAAATGAGTTGTGGGCAATGCTGACGATTGCATTTTGGACACCGTTAAGGAAGCGCAAGACGGTTACGGAAAAGGGACATGTCTCACATGGTCAATCACTTAAAACAATTGTTGCAAGACTTGTTTCAGTTTGCCAAAGGTGTAAAAGTTTTGGCTACCATAAATGTCTTGCAAATTCGAAGTATGTTGCATTGAAATGTTAAATCCTGTGTTGTGTAAGGGTACACGTAAAGCGCGCTTAAAATAAGATGTGAGTGGTTGTGGTATTTCCATTTCTCTGTCTTGAGCTTTCGAGGTTTCAAAGCGAATTAAATAACTGCTGTTCCATTGCTTGTCGTCTTCTGTGGGAAAAATACTACTCACTTCCTCGTCTAAGAAGGCACTAAATCCAAAACTTACTTGTAGTACAGTCTCGAGTCAGGCCGAATTAAGATTATCTGAACCTAGGCTGGCCTCTGCCCGTTCCGTGAGGACAGCTTGTTGTGTATCCTCTGCATGTATTGTTCTTTTATCTTTCTCGGGGTAATTTGCACCACTAGTATGGAAAGCCGACATCCCAGATACGACAACAGGTAAGGCATCAGGGAGGACACAAGTGAGTTAGAGCAAAGGCGAGTTGAAGAGACACCCTTTTGGCGAAGGGTCAAGGAATAGTGATCTACTTGACCACTTATACTACCTGGGTCCTTTCTGATAGTAATGCTACCCTATGTTCACCTATCATGTGATCGTCCACCTCACTCGATGATCTAGAGTTTAGTGAACACAGTGAACAGAGACTACGAAGGCCACGCAGGAGAACTGGACTAAACACCTAATTTTGAATTGGCTAAAGAGAAATACATACGAAACATGGACATTGAGGCAATTTTTACGAATAAATGATGCCATTACCAACCACAAACACGTGGTACAAACTTCCATGATTACTATATCTACGTCAAATGTCAGTGCATGCATTTTGCGGTAGTCAGAGGCGTCGGTCAAATGGTAAGCTTAACTGACTGCAAGTGAGATGGTGGAGGAGTTTGTTTGAAGACGGATCACCTAAATCGGAGGCAGGTTGCAACGTGTGCTCTTCTACTGCACTTTGATTGTCTCGAGTTAGTCAACGCCAATGCCACCATCACCTTCACACCACTTTCCCAACCTCATAGACACAAACTATCAGTTTGCTCAAACAAGAACACACATTACCGACAGGGTATGCAGTAATTAAAATGGTGAGGACAGTTGCGCCTCAAAGAAATCGCAGCCTAAATGTTCACGTCTGTCAAAGCAATATATATGTACAAAATTCCCCACTCCCGAGGAGTCCCGTTTTAACATCCTCAGGATTATCATTCGGACGATGCGAAGATGTGACCACTGAGCTAGGCTGACGCACTATTGTGTAGCTGAATGAAGGTCCGATGCACAAGCCCAGAATGACCTCCTGTTCTCATAAATATGCACAACAGAGGATCATTAAGGGACGTCCACCCCACCCACTTGCCTTTCGTCCTCTCCAGAAGAAGGAAGAGAATTTGAAGATAATGCTGGGAGATATGCATGGCACTTTGTCCCTGTTGCATAAATGTCTAATGCAGATCAAGGTGTTACTTCCGTTAATGCGCGTGTAGTTCATATATGACATTACAATTCTGTAAGAGAAAGGAGGAAATATATCGGAGCAAAAGCATTTTTTTTTCCTCGTCACTTCATTTCTGCTCGTTTGAGTGTATTGATGAGCCTCTGTGCTTAATTTCTAGATTGAAACTAAATGAACAGCGGGCGACTGCGTGTAATAATATGTTGGCAAGTGAACCGGCCTCTCGTCTCCGGAAACTGTGAGGTAACTATAATTAATGTCTCTAGAAGCTGCGGATGGCTGACGATATGGCATAGCACTGGTAGTTTCTTGGTGGCTAGAGGAAGGCCACGGGAGCCATCTCTGGTGGTTTTGAAAGACATCCGGCAAAACGCGTAAGAGACGCTATTGAGTACTGTGTGATGGATGGATACAGGTCACTGGAGTTGTACAGAGTTATTCACTTCCCCATCATCAGGGCTACTGACCATTCTATTGTTCGAGTTGACAGGGGATTGCCATTGTACAGGTTACCAGACTGTTTAAGCCACTAAGCAAACGTGTTGTATTGCTCAGAAATCATTTTGGAACGCCACTATCCCACGAAAAATTCCATTTATTGGAAGTGTGGTAATTTTCGTTGGCTCAAGGGACAGCGTTAAACACCTTACATGTAGGATTAATGGATGGATGTGCGGTGCTTCACAGTTTGACGTATGCACCATCTAATACTGCATCGACAACTGCGTGAACTGCTAATTGTAGAGCAATCAGTATACAAGTCGTCAATGCACATGTCCTTTTAGGCAGCTGTGTATGAGAAGTCAGGATCGACAGTGTGAGCGTATATTAGCCAACTAAGGAAGGAGCGACGAAGGCAGAAAGTGGGAAAGAAAGTCATTGCAGTTCATCTGGCCATGTAAGAAATATTTTTCCAATTGCAGTCTGTCTTAGGTAATATCAATCAATCTAAAGTGACAGGGCATAGCTGGAAGCATTTTCGGTATCACATTTCCATTCCTTATCCAGCCCCCATTCATCAATCCATCTATCTATCCAACCACCTCCTGTTCACCCACCACACTATTAATCCATCCAAAAACGCTAGTTCAGCCCAATTCCATGGCTTCTTCATACATCCAGAACTCTTTCCTGTATCCATCCGACCATACATTAATCCACCCATCCATTTACATCTTCGTCATAGGTACACCCATACCTCTACTCATTCATCTACATATCCACTAACTTTTCATCCTGTCATTTGTTCCTCTTCTGCATTCCTCTACCCCATGCAGTGCAACCTTGATTCCAGCAACATTTTTGATAATTTATGTTTTGCAAAAGTTGGTTCCCCCGCTTTTTGCTTCTCCGAATCCCGGAAAAATTTTCCTTCGGAATCTTTTTTGATAGAGTTTAAATTCATATTTTTAAAATCAATGCTACTCCCATGAGCACATCGTCAGCTATTATAAAATTGGTAAATTTGACTAAACGCAGCAGAACAAATCGCACATGTCCATAAAATTAACCAATCGGCAGATAGTCTCAACTATGCAGTTGTCAGTGGGGCAGTCCATGCAAAAGTTTGTCCATTTTCGAAGCAAATGGAACTGCTACATGCATCTATTTAGTAGTTTGATTTCAAAGTATGCGTTTGAAGCCACAGTTTTAGCGAGCAAGTACGTAAGATTGAAGCAATTAAAAGTACTAATGACAACTGTCAACAGACATGATGGGAAATCAAGATATATGCTAAAGTAAGAAAAATGCCCTAAAAAAGCAAACGACTATGGAAATTACATAAAAAAGAAGATCAAAATGAGCTTTATATAGACCTTGCAAAAAGCAGTCAACACACTATACGATCTAACCTCCAATTCGCCTTGCATTTGGCATTTTATTGAAGACTTTAATGCTTTCAAATAAATTTCCCCCCTGAAAAACTCCTTTAAGACACTGGCGAATTGAGAAACCGCTTTTCTTTGCATTATATTAATGAACTTAATTAACCCCTTTTTAAATTTCTTCTTGAATTATGCATATTTTTTACTCCTGTAAACTGCTTCAGTAAATTTTCATTAGTGGTTCTAACATTTTACTGATCCCTCCGCAGTATTGCTGAACAAATTAATAATGTTTTAACGTTTATAGTGGGAATTGGTATTGCTTTACTCTACCTTTTAAACAAAATTAGTTCTCTCCACCTTTTTAGCTATTAAGCTCAACGCCTGTTCTCGCTTGGAATTCGAAAGTGTGTTAAATTTTCTTCATGCCTTTTAACGCAATCAGATCGCTTGTCATTATTAGTGATCAAACGTACCACATTTCACCGGTTGGCGTACAATTTGATAACGAGTGTCAATTAAGTGTTTAAGCAGATTTAGTTCTCTCCTCGTTATCAGGGACCAAAAAAACACGTTTTATCCTTTAGCAAACAAAATTATGGCGGATTATCAGTATGCGTATTAGCATTTTGTTTTCGCTTTTCATCATTAATGGTCAAACTATTCCTGCTTCAGCGGTTAGCGCCCTATTTGATAGCGAGCTTTTAATTTATGCTTTGAGCATACTTACTTCACTCTTCAACGTTACCAATCAAACTGAACACCTTCTATCGGTTAGCGTGGGAAACTATGGCGAAGCTTCTTCATGTGTTTCAACATGTGCAGATCGCTCCTCAGTAATTGTGAGCAAAATAAACACCTTCAAAGATTATCCTTTGAACATATTCAGTTGTCTCTGCATTATTTGCGATTAGGCTGAACGTAATGCAGCTGCTAAAAACCGAAGTTGTCGTAATTTTTCGAATACGGCTTTTAGATGGTGCATTCAAAATGATATTTGACGTTTTTCGATTTCGACATGTCTGTCTGGAAAGAGCTTTGCCCTCTATTATTTGCTCTACTTAAATCCACCGCGTTTCGTCGGTAAAACCGCAATGGCCCAACTGTTGTGTCAAAACAAATGGATTGAGGTGAATAAAGTAGGTTGCGTTCGGGAGAATCCAAGTGGGTGGATACTTGGCGTTTGAAAATCGTGCATTTAACATTACGTTAGTACTGCAAATGATATTAAATGATTACTTAGTAATTCCACTTTGCTATTAATTCCTTCGTTTAAAACGCAACTTTAAATAAGCCGAACAAATTGTAAATGCTATTTCTTTTCCAAGGTTTTCTCCTAGTTTACCTAACTACTGCTCAAGTTCCTCAAATTGCTACTGTGATGCAGTTCATCAAAATGGTCTTTTAAATATCCACCCTTCCCATTTATCCTTAAGGCCAGTTTGTCTTTGTTAAAAAAAAAAATTTAGTTCGATGCATTTTCAATCGAAATGTCCTCTAGTAGTGTCGGCTAGCAAAGTCCTACCCGAAACCATGCTTCTATTGCATTTTAAATCCGTCAAGTAAGTGAAGGTGTAGGGTAGAGCTGACTCGTAGTTATTAAACAATCTCCTTCTCCCACCAAAATGGGAGCCGTGAAAGCATTTGGATTCGCACCAGGGAATACAGGACAAAGAGATGTTGGCTAAGGTGTGTGTCGGGCGTGCAAAGGCTAGACTTATCGATGCGTAATGTGGTATTTCGACAGGTGTGGCACATTAATCAAGAGTGTTAATTCCAAAAGCGGTTACGTTTGATCAGTATTTTCCAGGACGTGCAATTCGGACCCTTGTTGATGGAAATAAAGCATCGAGGCGACTAAGTCTCACATCGTGAGCCTTAAAACGAGCCTTTTAGCAGTCACTGATACAGTGGTTACACCAGTACTCAGTGGAGATGCTACTGATGTTCACTATGGATGTGGAAGAGAAAAACAGCTATGGAGTTGTGAACGAGAGGCATTAAGTCATGTTGGTAAATAAACGATCGCAATTTGTCCCTCTTTACTTCATCAGTTAATTTAATGGATTAAAGCGTCACTTTAGCGGTATTACATTTAGCTGAAGTTAAAACGTACGGTTTTTATTTAACAGATGGTAAATTTCAAAGCCTGGACAATCTTTTGCCTCTATCCGGGAAGATGCCTTTTTGATGTTTCACTAAAGCAGACCAAGTTGTGCATGTTGAAGCCTGTCTTAGCTGTAAATGTATGAATTGGTCCCAAGAAATATTTTAGCCAACAAAGTTGAGATAAAAGCTTTCAAAGAAAAGTCAGTTTAACATGGTTATCCATATCTGTATTTTACGCATACTGTCAGCCATCACACATTTTGCCACAATTCACCACGGCTGTCCACTTACCAATCTCCATGTTCCCATTACTAATTTTCGGAGGCATCTGCACCGTATCATATTAGCTGTCATGTATGCTATGTAAATCTGGAAGTTAATGAATTAGGAGCAAAATTCATGGATGCACACATAGCAGTCGTAGTCATGTCTCTGATTAAGGAAGCCAATCTGCAACCTGTGAACAGTACGCGCTCACTTAATCCTGATTTCTTTCACTTATACGGAAGAACTTGTTGCGTTTAGTCGCCGTTAGACCATCAAACTCCAATGTCAGTTTTGTCCTAGGGCGACGAAAATAATTGCACAGTTCGTTGATGTTTGAAGTACTTGAATGGTTGCTAACTTCACGACTTTCCGCTGCTGCATTGCTGTATACTACGTATAAAACTCCATCGCCATTTACTTGTTTCCATATAATGTAAATGTATACGTTGCAACTTATCTACTTGGTGTTTTGGCTTATTGTTAACAATGGGAAGTCTTTGTACACATTGAGGAAGTAGTTCGGCTTCGACTAATGTTGTGCACCCACCCAGTGTCCAGGCCAGACAGCGCTATCCTACAATTCATCGGTCCTGTGATGTCAACGAATTGTGTGACAGAGGGCAGATTGCTAACAAGTAGCGCCAGATAGATCCAATGCCTCAGTCATTTAGAGGTGAAATGGCTGAAATGGAATAAATTAACAGATTAACTGAACTAATGACCATTTATTGTGTGGTAGCAAAAAGCAACGATTAAAAGACGGCATAAATTTATGGGAATTTTGAGATTTGACGACATTACATGCATTTATGTGACAGTTAAGTGAAAGGCAATTTCCACTCTGTCTTGATAAATGTCAAAACTAGAGAGGCATTTTAGCTGTTTCAGGATAGACAAAGGCCAACCGAATAAAAGACGAAGCTGCAAGGGGCATATGAAATAATAATATACCACGCTGGTCAGGATACGCAGCAGTCTATCAGCACAGTAGGTGTAATGAATTGACATTTGCTTGGGTGAGCTTCAGTCCTGTCGAGTTTTAAACCAGAATACGTAAGTGATGGACGCCCATCAGTGCAGATGTCCTCCGTGCTAACCGATCGGTGTAAGCTGAAAGCATGGCCTCTGTGGACGTGAATACAGTTTAAGTGAGGAAACACAAGATAGTTCAGATTTCATATTTCCTAGTATAATAGGATTATTAGCAGATCTATTGTCGGTGCGTGACAGTATACAGCATGTGAAACTCCCCGGAGGCAACAAATCAATGACACACAGAAAGGTCAGGAATTACGAGAAAAAAAAATTGAGAAAAGCGGAGCAGTAGAGTTTGCGATTTTCCCCTATCAAGCGAAGAAATGTGGCTCTAGCTTTGGTATATATGACTAAGCGAATCTCATTTCATCTCACCTCATTGATATGATGACCGATTTAAGGCAGTATGCCTCTATAAATTTAGGTGGTACGGCTCTGCTTTTGGTATAGATGAACAAGCACAGTACATCTCGACACATATGTAGCGTCCCGAGACTCCCTGAAGACGAAAGAAGACACAGTACTCGGGCAGAATACATGTATTCAGCACAGAGAAGGTGCCTGGGCTATTGGCATGGCCCGAAAGGCCAGCCCACCCAGCGAGGCACAGGGAGGCTAATTCAAAGCACGAAAGTGGCGCCTCACCAATACCGAGGGATAAACCACTATCGTATTACACATATCATAGATATAATGACCGATTTGAGACGGCTTTTTCTCTGCTAATTAGAAAAAATTTGGTTTAATTGTGGTATAATGAATGAGCATAGCGCAACTCAACATATTTCAGAGATTTAACGACTAATTTGAGGTCAATTTTTTCATCTACAAATTGAATAAATTCGAATCTAAATTTGGTAATCATAACTAAACAAGTCTCATCCAGCCTCATTTCACCTCATAGATTCCGTGACAGATTAGAGGCTATCATCCCTACAACAACTAAATAATTTGGACTTTTAAACTGGTATATATGGCTAAGCATAACACATCGCAAAATGTACCCGAGAATAACTGGCGGAATTGAGAAGAGTTCCACCAACCATACGAATTAATATTTGGCTCTTGCTTTGATAATAACGACTAAGTAAACCGCATTCTATCGCCTCTTTTATTTCAGGCGATTTTTCGTCTACCAAATGAACAAATCCGGCTCTCGCGTTGGAAATCTCAGCCGATCTCATCTAAGTTCATTGACTTCATGACCGATTTGAGGTACATTTCCCTCTACCAAGTGAACAAATTCGGCCCACACTTTGGTATACATCACTATGCGCATCGTGTCGCATCAAATCTCAACGATTTGTTGGTTGATTTTAGACATGTCTCCTCCTACCAAGTGAAGAAATTCGGCCCTCATTTTGGTATACATGACTTTGCTAAACGCACACTATTCCATCTCATCGATTTGCGTACAGATTTGAGGCCATTTTTTCTTTGGTATGCATGAGTGAGCAAGTCTCATCTCATCTGCTCTCTGTAAGATTTGACCCTACGCATCATATTTCATAATTTTTGCCATTACCAATCCAGGTCCTCTGCGTGGCTAACATTTTGCGTAAAGCATCACACTTGACCCATTGTGGTGATTTTTTTCACTCCCTCTTACCCTTTTTTTCTTCCTAGCCTCCGTTCACCATACAATCCTATTGTCTGTATGCCTCAGTGTGCCTCCACTCTAAAGATCTAGCTACTGTTATCCAATAAGCTAATTCGCAGCAAGACAGCCTTCATTCCATTTCAAATAACCAGCTCTCATCAGCCCTCAATCAATTTCTCTAACCATCTGCCTGAGTTTCTCTGCAGCTGTCTAGCTTCCGTCACTTAAGCGCCTTGATCTCTAGCTCACTAACTCACTTTCTCTGCTCCCTATTTCTATTCAAACTCATATCACTGAGCCTCCTCGCTCCCCTACTAGCGTTTGCCTACCCACACAGTGTTAGATGGGTAAAAAATGGAGTTAGATGATAAACATGGGTGCAATGAATGCCTAGAGAGGTAAATAGGTATAAAGGTAAAAATTAAAACTCCAGAAACTAACTAAACAGCCAGAAGTGAGTGAGTGACCAAACGGGTGAAGCACCTGACATAAAAGTAGACAAGTCAAACGTATCAAAAATGCCATTTGTCCCAATCCAAGGCCTTACAGAAGACGTTGTCAAAGTGCTATATACCACTGGTGGCTGTGAATTTTGCTGGTGACTGGCTGAGGCGAAAAAGATTTGCGTCTCGACTCTGGGTAGGTTCTAGAAGACTGCTCCATTTCTGCTGCTACCTTTATGATCGCCCACCACCCCCTGACATGAAGAATGAAGGGATGACTAGCGCAATCAAAATGCATCGTATGCACTGACTGGACCGCCAGAAGGATCCATAACAAGTTCAGTCGGTATGAGGGCTAAGGGATTGGCGGGTTTGTTGGAGAAGGGGGTATTATATTTAACACCTGTGCCCAAACCTGAAGCCGAAGTTTGTCAGCTGCACTGCTCCTGATTTAAAGGATGGATTCAAGAAGACCACCCACTACCAAAAGGGACCTATGGCTATTATTTCAATGGCATCACAAAAATCACCATACTTCCGCCTCCAGATCAGTAGACCAGTTTATACATGTCGCAGGTTTCTCGAGTGTTCATCGACTCCATCCTCGATTTTAGGCATAATTTAAAGAAGGCCTTCTAATAGGCGGTAATGGCAATACTTCTATTACATTCTTCGCAATTGCTCTCCACTGAAACTTCAAATGAAGCATTTTTGTATGAAATGCTAAAGGTGGATTTCATGAAACTATGAAAAATAATTTCCTGTGAAGAATCAAGGCCCAACCAAATCTATCCTCTAATGACACAGCAGGCAACGTGTTCAAGTAAACGAAGCAGGACAACAAAAGGTTAAGTTTACAATTAGGCTAGCGAAACGATGTCCAACCAAAAAATTGCGAGGCCGAAGATCCAAATACTGCAAGGTAGGAGTCAACACTTTCAATTAAGTGCATCTCAATTCATTTACTTGTGTGTATCCGATGCGACACTTGTAAAAAATTAGTTGAATGAAAGAATGATTCAGCAAATGGGGCCTAGGCTATAGT